CGCCGCCCGCAGGCGCATGGACCGGCCGCTGCGCTCCCCCTCTCAGCGGGCACAGTGGACCCGACCGCTCCGCTCGCCGGCTCCCCACCCCCACGTCCTTCGCGTCATCGTTGGGGCCGTGCATAAAAGGCTCGGCGGCCCAGGACGCACTTGGCGCTGAGAACGCGAGTCTGCGCGTCTGGTGGTCCGTGCATCCGGCCCTTGCCCACGCAGGTATGCACGCCCGGAGTGCACCGGGCTGGGGGTCCCCCTTAGAGCATCTTCGGCCCTTCCCGGACCTCCTCGCTGGCCGCCTTTGTTTTCCGTCCGCTGCAGTGGCCGCCTTTGTCCTTGCGGGGGAAACCGAGGCCAGGGCCTTGGTGTGCAGGCCGGGTCTCTGGACTCCCCGCCCCCTGCTCACCGGGCCCTCTCCGTTTCCTTCTGGACTGGGGGCTTGCGCCACCGCGCTCGGCCGACTTGCAAGTGGGGGACCTGGAGGTAGTGGCTGGGTCACTCGTGCTGTGGTCAGGGGGGCGGGTCTCCGGTACCCTCCGGGCCGCGCAGACCCGGTGCCCGGGAGGGTGAGGGTTGGTACTGCTGCCCCCCACCCCCCGGTTCTGACTCAGTAACAAGGCCCAGCACACAGCGTGACCTTGGGAAGGGAGGACAAAGGGCCTTCCCCAGCGCACTGACCGGGCGGGCGGGGGTCTCAGCTTGCAGTCATGGCTTCCGGCAACGCGCACATCGGAGAGCCCGCCCCCGGCTTCCAGGCCACCGCCGTGGTGGATGGCGCCTTCAAGGAGGTGAAGCTTTCGGACTACAGAGGTGAGGGCGGCCTGGAGGGGGTCGAAGTGGGGGCGGGGCCCACGAATAAGAGGGGCTGGGCCTTCACTCCTCCTCTGTTCCCCTCCTCCCCAGGGAAGTACGTGGTCCTCTTTTTCTACCCGCTGGACTTCACTTTCGTGTGCCCCACGGAGATCATCGCTTTCAGCGAGCATGCTGAGGACTTCCGCAAGCTGGGCTGCGAGGTGCTGGGGGTCTCTGTCGACTCCCAGTTCACCCACCTGGCTTGGTATGAGCAGGTACCGGGGAGGGAGGCTGCAGCTAAGCGCACAACATAGGGTCGGAGCTGTGTCGCCTGCTGGCCCTTGCACAACCTCTGGGCCTCCTTTTACCCATTTTGAAAATCATGGAAATACGGACGCCCAAGTCCTTAACGATGATGACAGTAATTAGCATTTGGCAACTTGTTGTCTGGAACATACAGTTGCAGATGCTTTATCTCATTTGTCAAGAGGGAGGCTGCATTGCCCTATTTCGTGAAGGTGGAGACTCCAGTTCATGGAAGTGAAGGGCTGGGCCCAGGACACAGGAGTTAGAGGAGGATGGGCACTCTGACACAGGTTTTCTTCTGCATGATGTGGGAGGCCACGAGCACATGTGAAGCCATTTGCTTGGGGCTGGAGCTTTAGCTTGTGAGCTTATTCTTCCCAGCTGTGTGGATACAACCTCTGTACCCACCCCAGGGTGGGGTGGGTGGGCCTCCCAGGGCCCTGCCCCTTATCTCTTGCCTCCAGCACCCCTACTCCAGTCCTTATCACACCTGGACTCTGCTATGCTTGGCATCCTGAGGTCCTAACCCTTTCTCCCCTACCCCTAGGATCAACACCCCCCGGAAGGAGGGAGGCTTGGGCCCCCTAAACATCCCCCTGCTTGCCGACGTGACCAGAAGCTTGTCCCACGATTATGGCGTGCTGAAAAAAGATGAGGGCATCGCCTACAGGTACTGTGGGACCCTCAGCCCAGCTCAGGGAGTCCCCAAACCCAGGGTGATCGAACCGCTCTTGGATGATGCCCTCCTTTCCCCTAGCTCTGTGGCTGGCAGTGGGTTGGTGTTCCCTTCCCTGGCCCTGGCAGTGGAAGCTCCCAGCTCCTCACTGTGAACCCTGACGTCTTCAGGGGCCTTTTTATCATCGATGGCAAGGGTGTCCTCCGCCAGATCACTGTTAATGATTTGCCCGTGGGGCGCTCTGTGGAGGAGGCTCTGCGGCTGGTCCAGGCCTTCCAGTACACAGATGAGCACGGGGAAGGTGAGTGGATACACACTCCAGTGTGCTCACACATGGACACAAACTGAGCCCCTCTGTCACTCATGGGGACATTCACTGCCTCCCCTACCACCTGTGCAGGCCCCAGAGACGATTCAGCTTGGGGCCTTGTCTGCAGGAAGTTTCTGTGTGGTGGGGGAGATACTCCAATACAAAGGTGGGGAGCTGGGAGGTAACAGAGATCTACAGAAGGTACTTGAGAAGGCGTGTTCCAAGTCAGACTGAATAATGCTACTTGGAACAGAGTACCTTCTCATGTGGAGGGGACAGCCTGACCATAGACTCTCAAAGGCCAGTAGGGCTGGGGCTGAGGGAGAAAAATAGAATTAAATGGACGAAAAGAAACTGAAGGATAAGAGCAGGAAAAATGTCAGCTAGAAAATACAAAGTTGGGGCCGGCCCGTGGCTCACTCGGTAGAGTGTGGTGCTGATAACACCAAGGCCACGGGTTCGGATCCTATATAGGGATGGCCGGTTAGCTCACTCAGGAGAGCGTGGTGCTGACAACCCCAAGCCAAGGGTTGAGATCCCCTTACCGGTCATCTATAAAAAAAAAAAAGAAAAATACAAAGTTGAGGAGCCAGCTAGTTAGCTGAGTTGGTTGGAGTTTGGTGTTATAACACCAAGGTCAAGGGTTCAGGTTCCTGGGCTTGGAAGGCTTCTCTCAACCTGCATATTTTTGTACCTGACCACTTGGCTCCCAGCTTTTTCTTCTGCAACTCAGGCTCTTGCTTGGCCTGTTTGTCCCTTCACCTTGAACACGGGGATGTGGTCTCACCTGTGCATCCCTGTGTCTTCCCACAGTCTGTCCTGCTGGCTGGAAGCCGGGCAGCGACACAATCAAGCCCAACGTGGAAGACAGCAAGGAGTACTTCTCCAAACACAACTAAGCTGGCAGATGGGTAGTGAGCTTGTGCTTTTGGCCTGCATCTGGGTGTCCCGTGCTGACCCAGGAATGGCCAGACCTACCCCTCCTAACTCAGTCTGAGACCCTTGGAGGGCTAGGCCAAGGCCTTCTCATGCCCCTGAAGCTGGTGAATTGTGACCCCCTCCTCGGAGCCCAACCAGCTGGACACAGGCCTAGACGTGACCAATAAAGTATTAAGGACAGATGTGAGTCTGCGTTGGTGTGCTCTGTTCTGGCTTTCTCACCCGCCCCGCCCTCCCCCTCCTCTTCCCCTCTTCTCCCGGCCCCCCCACCCTTCAGGCCTGGAAAACTGATCCTGTAGTTCCTCATCATCACCACAAGGTGGCAACCTTACCTCATGCTCACTGTTTACTCCTTGGCCTGAGGGCGGTTTCCAAGGGGTGGGGTGTACTGTTTGCTCCTTGGAGGGAACAAGTCCCAGTATGCCCCACATCCTGAAACCTGGCTATACAGGGCAGCGCCCACATCAACCAGCCTGGGTTCAAATGCTACTTAAGAACTGTGCTCTTAGGGGCCGGCCCTTGGCTCACTTGGGAGAGTGTGGTGCTGATAACACCAAGGCCACAGGTTCGGATCCCTATATAAGGATGGCCGGTTAACTCACTTGGGAGAGCGTGGTGCTAACAACCCCAAGTCAAGGGTTAAGATCCCCTTACCTGTCATCTTTAAAAAAAAAAAAAAAGAAAGCTGTGCTCTTCCCTGAGTCTTTTCATCAATAAAATGGGAATAAAGACTACCAACGCAGATCATACAATTTAAAGGAGATAAAGTTCAGGGTCCAGTTAATAGTTCCTAGGACGGTTCCCTGGGGCTGAAAGAAGCCCAGTCCAGTCTTCTGAGGCAAAGGGTGGGGACCCAGTGAGAGCCTGAGCTACGTGCACCTGCTGTGAGCTCTGCCCCACCTGTCCCACCCGAGCTGAAAGGGCTGCCTGTCTGCCCCTGGGGTGGGAGGGTAAGGGTTAGGCTAGCAGACAGGTGTTAGGAGCAAGGCAGTGTTCCCAGGGATGCAGCTTGGTACTGTGTGTGTCCAGGCAAGAGGTTTTGCCACACTGAGCCCCAGTTTCCTCCCACAGAACAGGGCTAATATGCTTATTTAATCCACAGACCCACTACTAATACTACTACCCAGCCTACTGCCCTCCAAGGGCCACTCTTCTCCCTTGGAATTTAATATACACTCCTTCCCAAAGGCCCTGAGTGGTCTCCCTTGACCTTATCTACCCTGTTGGGGGTCACTCCACACCAGGCACACTGGCTTCCTGCTGTTCTTTCACAGGCTGATCTTGTTCTGACCACAGGAACTTTGCATGGGCTGTTCCCTCTGACCAGAACGCTCGTTACCCAGGATTTTCTCAGGGCCCCGATCTTTCAAATCTGTTGAAAGTTCACCTCATTAAAGGTCTGTGCTCCCAATCTATTATGCAAAACAGCTTGCCTCTCTTGCCCCATCACTAGCACCATGACCTGTTTCTTCTCTTCCTAGGACTTACCACCATCTCCGAATCATGTTTGCTTGTTTATTGTCTGTCTGCCGTGGTCCAGACTGTGTTTCCAGGGCCTGATTGTTCAGTATTTTATAAATGAATTGAAGTGTCTGTCCTATACACTCCACCGTCGTGGCCCGGTTTCTCCACCTGTTTTTCTCCCCTGCTCTAGGGGCTTCCAGTTCCGAAACCGGCCAGACTCCATCGGCACGCACCAGCAACTCCACCCTCATCCTCCGGTCCCCGGCCCCCAGCCCAGCTTCGGGGGAGGGGGCCGGGCGCGTGGGCGCGGCTGGCGACCAGAGCAGCCGCCCCGGCAGGACCAGACCTGGCAGTCGCCCCGCTCCTGCCCTGGCACCCGGGAGGGGAAACTGGCAGGCGGGCGCCGCCCTTCCTGGCCGGGGGTGGGTAGGGGGTGGCGGTGACGGCGTCCGCAACGACGCAGAGGCAGCAGCAACCCTCCGCCCCTGTCAGGTCAGACGGAGGGGGCGTGGGCTCGGCGGGACCCAGGCGCCAGCTTGTGCAGGGAGAATCGGGGGTGGCTCCCGGGGCCCAGGAGCGAGGCCCGCCCACCGCGGGCGCTCTGGATCCAGGCCTGGGGCTTTCCGGGCCCAGGCAGCCGACCGCCCGGGAAAATCCCGGCCCCCTTCCCGGCGCCGCGGCCCTGCCCGGCAGAGCGGGGGAGGGGATTCCCGGAATCTGCCCAGAGACCGCCGTCGCGTCACTGGACAGAATCGGCCCATATATGGGCAGCGCTTCCGCTGCGTCAGCGGGGAAAGCCCCGGCGCGCGCGGCTGGGCGGGACCGCGCCTGCGCACCCGAGCCCCGCCCCAGGCATCCTGCCCCCGGGTGCTGCGCGGCTGGACAACGTCCCGTGCCCGGACCTTCCAACCCCGGAGATCAGGGGACGCTGGGAGGGTTGGACGCCCGTACTGAGACCGCAAAATGCCTGGGAGGAGCTGACCAAGGAGACGTATGCAGGAACGAGCCACAAACAGCAGTGGGGTGAGGGTGTTCTCCTCCCAGTGTTCTCCCTCCGCCCGCCCGGCTTGGAAAAAAAAAAAGACAACAGAAATTAATAAAGAACCATTTTTTTTTACTTAAATAGATTCAATAAAAAGTCAGAACAAACACACACACACACAAATCTTAAAATAAAGTATTTGGAGATGAATTGTGTGTTTCCTCTCCCACAGTACGGTGCAGAGGGGGGAGGGCAGGGGGCGGGGGTCCCCTCCCCAGTGTCCCCGCGGGCTAGAGTACCGGGCGGCGGGGCCAGCTCCGCCGCGATCGCCCCCTCCTCCCCTCTCTGTTAAATACACAAATATATTATATTCAATATGAATCGAAAAAAAAAACATACAAAAAAACTCGGAAGGGAGGCTTGTAAACGTCGAGGTGGAAGGACTGGGCGCAGAGCGGGCGGGCCAGAGTCCAGTGTGGTTTGCGACGCCCCCGGTCCCCGGGGCGGGTGCCCACCGCCTGCCCCCTCGCCCCCAGTGGGAGGCGTGCGCCCAGCCGTCCAGGCTGGGGGGTGTCCGTTCGAAGGGGGGCGCTCAGAAGGCGTGTCCCTTGACCCCGAGCAGCAGCTGGCAGCCATTGCTGACGTGGGTCATGACCTTCTGCTTCAGCTGGGCCACCTGCTCCCGGAGGAGGCCGGCGGTACTCGACAGCCCCGCGTTCTCGGCCTTGAGCGTCTTCACCTTGTCCTCCAGGCGCGCGATGCGCTCCAGCTTCCGCTTCCGGCACTTGGTGGCCGCCAGCCGGTTCCGCAGCCGCTTGCGCTCGACTTTGATGCGCTCCTGGTCTTCCATGTTGATGGGGGACACCGGCGGCGTGGCGTCGCGGCTGCGCGCCTCCGGCACGGTCTGCGGTTCCTCCTTGAAGGTGGAAGCGCCGCGGCCCAAGCCCAGCTGCGCCGGGTGGCCGCCGGCGAAGGGCGGCGCGTGTGGGAGGTAGCTGATGGTGGCCGTCGGGTAGGAGCTCCCGGTCCCGACGGCTGCCCCGGCGCCTCCGGAGGGCGCGGAGGCCGGGGAGTAGCTGCTAAGGTTGGTGTAGACGGGAGGCGGCTCCGGGCCGGCGTAGACGCCTGCGGGCCCAGCTGGGGGCCCCCCGCTGGCGCCCAGGGACACGTTGGGGGGCGTCACGTGGTTCATCTTGTGCAGGTCGTCCAGGGCTTTGACAAAGCCGTCAGCGAAGCCCTCCTGCTCCTCGGTGACGCCGCCCCCTGCGCCCCCCGCACCTCCGCCGCTACCACCCCCACGGGGGTAAAAGTACTGTCCCGGGGGCGTGGGCGTCGTCGTGATCACACCGTTGCTGTTGGGGACGATCAGGCGCTCCAGCTCTGATGAGGCAAGCTTGAGAGACGCTCCGGTGTCTGAGCCCTGACCGGAAAAGTAGCTGCCGCCACCGCTGCCCTCCGGGCCGGGGCCCCGCGCCCCGGGTGCTTTGAGACTCCGGTAGGGGTCGGCCAGGTTGAGCGCCAGGCTCGGTTTCAGGAGTTTGTAGTCGTGCAGAGAGAGGCCACCAGGGGCCCGGCCGTATCCCGCCGCTGCGTATGAGTCGTCGTGGTAGAAGGGCTGTTCCATTTTAGTGCACATCCGGGCGGCCCAGGCGGTCTGGGGGATGGGGGGGTGGTCCCTGAGGGGCCGCCCCGGGCCTCGCCGAAGCGAGCCGCGCGCTGTCCGCGGCGGTGGCCGGACTGGGTGTCTGGTCGCGCGCTCTCGGGGGCTGGCACGGGCTGAGAGCAGCCAGTTGGCTGCTGTGCGCGAAAGCTCTGTCCGGCTTCCCGATCCCCTCGCGCCCTCTCTGGCGCCCTCGCTTTCTCCGCGTCGCTCCCCCCTTGCTCCCCGCTCCCAGCTGGCTCCGATGCGGGCCTGGCCGCCCTCAAGGTCCCGGCGGCTCAGCCCGAGCCGCAGGCTTTATACCGCATTTGTCAGCTGCGGAAGTGCGCTCCCATTGGCCGTCGCCGGAGCCGGGCCCCCGCGCCCCCCTCCCCGAGCGTGGGGAAGGGGAGGAGGCGGCTCGCGTCACTGTCAGGAAGCGCGTGTCCTTGTAAACAGCAGCCACGGGCCGAGTGGCTCAGAGCTGCTGCAGGGGGAGGGGCTCTAGGGACCCCGGAATAAACATGGTAGGAGGTGTTGGGGGGCCCAGGCATACGGGGGAGGGCTTGGGGAGAGGATGATGATTCCTCTGGAGCACACCGGACGGACACGAGGACCTAGCACAGAGCAAGTGGGGAGGGGGTTCCAAGGCGTACAGGGAAAGGCCTGACCGTGCAAGAGGGGTTAGAAGAACTGCTAATACACTGAGAGACCCCAAAAAAGCAGAAAAGGGAGGGTTAAAACGGGTAAATCGGGAGTGGTGAGGAGAAGGCTGACCCAGGATTTGACTGGTGGTCTCGGGCACAGAGAAGTTGAGGGACTGGAATTTTCACAGGAGAGAGGAGGGGAGGGATCAAAAGGGCTCAGAGGGAGCGGGTCAGGACCCATTATGCAAGAAATGAGTAGGGGTCCTGGAGTCCATGGGAGAGTCTGAGGGTTCTCATAAGTGGGAAGGAGAATTGGGGGAACCTAGATATGCAGAAAATGAGTAAGGGCTCTGGGGTACACTGAGTCGGATAAAATATGTGGAGTAGAAGGTGGGGACATGTTTGTTAGTGTCAGTCGGGAATCACTGGCTGTGGAGTTCTGATGAAGAAGAG